GGGCCCGGGGGTCCCCCAAATCCTCCTGTGCTCTGAGGGGGAAGCCGAATTAAAACAAGTAATCCCTGCAGCCTACCATGAGTTTCTAGATGTGTTCAGCAAACGGGGAGCCGATACTTACCCCCCCACCGCCCTTATGACTATCCCGTTGACCTGTTACCCGGTTCAGAGATTCCTTTTGGGCGAATCTTCCCCCTTTCAGAGCTCGAATTGGGGGCCCTGAAGGAATATATCGAGGACAGCCTCCAGAAGGGGTTCATCCGCCCCTCCACTTCACCGGCGGGGGCGGGAACTTTCTTTGTTGAAAAGAAGGACAAAACCTTAAGGCCGTGTATCGATTACCGGGAGTTGAACAGGGTCACGATAAAGAACCGTTACCCACTGCCGTTAGTACCGGAGTTATTCCAAAGTTTAAAAACAGCAGTGGTTTTTACAAAGCTGGATTTGAGGGGAGCGTACAACTTGATTCGCATAAGGGAGGGGGACGAGTGGAAGACGGCCTTCCGCACCCGCTTCGGCCACTTTGAATATTTGGTCATGCCATTCGGGTTGTGCAATGCTCCGGCCACTTTTCAACACTTTGTGAATGATATTTTTAGGGACTTCCTGGATGTCCTTTGTTATCGTCTATTTAGACGACATTTTGATTTTCTCCCCTTCTTTGGGGGAACACAGAATACATGTAGCGAGGGTATTGGGGCGATTGCGGCAGCATGGGTTGTACGCCAAGGCAGAGAAATGTTGTTTCGAACAATCCAGCATTACTTTCTTGGGCCTGATTATCTCCACCGCGGGGGTCGCGATGGATCCTCAGAAAGTCGCTGCAATACTGGATTGGCCTGAACCCACGGACAGGAAAGGCGTCCAACGATTTATCGGTTTTGCAAATTTTTACCGAAAGTTCATCAAGAACTTCTCGGGTCTGGTCTCCCCCATTACTCAGCTAACCAAGCTGGGAACCCGGTTCAGATGGACACCAGAGGCTCAGGAAGCTTTTGAAGCCTTGAAGAAGCTGTTCACCTCGGCACCCATTTTGGGTCACCCAGACGCCGCCCTGCCCTACATCTTGGAGGTGGATGCATCGGAGAATGCGGTAGGTTCCATCCTCTCCCAGCGGAAAGGCACCAAGGAATTGCTCCATCCTGTAGCATTCTTCTCACGGAAGCTTACCCCAGCGGAGAAGAATTATGATATCGGTGATCGAGAGCTACTGGCGATCAAAACGGCGTTAGAGGAATGGAGGTACCTGCTGGAAGGTGCTGTGCACCCCATCTTAATATTTACTGACCACAAAAACCTGGAATATCTGAGAACCGCCAAGCGTCTACGCCCGCGACAGGCAAGATGGGCCCTATTCTTTTCAAGATTCAACTTCCACATTACGTACCGGCCTGGATCAAAGAACACTAAGCCAGATGCGTTATCACGTATGTACGAGGACGCCAAGGAGATCCCAGTACCCGACACCATCCTGTCCTCGGGTAACTTCTTGGCCCTTCAGTCGGACCTTCGTTCCAAGATAATGGAGGCATCCACAACCGTCTCTACCCCAGTCGGAGGGCCCCTCCAGAACAAGGGGGGACTCCTATGGAGGGAAGATCGGATTGTGGTGCCGGAGGAAGCCCGAACCCTGGTCTTGGGGCATTGCCATGACCACCCGATGGCGGGGCACTTTGGCCCAGAAAAGACCCTGGAACTTCTCCGACGCTCCTTCTGGTGGCCGGACATGGCTAAAGATTGTAAGGGCTATGTAAGGTCCTGTATCACCTGCCAGAAGAACAAGCCATCAAGAAACAAAGTTTGGGGTCTGCTGCGACCCTTACCGATTCCTGAACGGCCTTGGCAAAAGATCTTGTTAGACTTTATAGTCGAGCTTCCGCCATCACTAGACCACACGGCAATCCTGGTGGTCGTGGACCGCTTGTCCAAGATGGCCCACTTCATCCCGTTGAAGAAAACCCCCTCGGCAGCCGAGACTGCGCGAGTCTTCATTCGTGAGGTAGTAAGGCTGCATGGGGTCCCCGAAGACATTGTCTCGGACCGGGGGGTCCAGTTCACGTCAAGATTTTGGAGAGCACTGTGCAAAGCCCTGGACATCAAATTGTCCTCTCTCTGCATTCCACCCTCAAACTAACGGTCAAACCGAAAGGACCAATCAGACCCTGGAGCAATACTTAAGATGCTACACTTCGTTTACTCAAGATGACTGGATGCCACTTCTACCCCTAGCGGAATTCGCGTACAACAACGCCTGCCACTCAGCGACGGGACAGTCCCCGTTCTTTGCCAACTATGGTTTTCACCCCCCGTCTTCCTCCCGATTTGGTCTCGGAATGCCCAGTACCAGCAACGCAAGATGTAGGAACGTTTTTCTCCGCGAACAATAAGAAGCTTCAAGAGGCCATCAGTCGGGCCCAGGAAGACTACAGGAAGGCATTCAACAGGAAACGGAGGGGAGATCTGGTGTTGCGGCCTGGGGAGAAGGTTTGGCTAGCGACGTCCAATTTAAAGATGCTTTGCCCGTCGAAGAAATTGGGACCCAAATTTATAGGCCCCTTCTGCATTAAACGGATGGTCAACGAAGTGGCCTACAAACTCGTCCTTCCTGACACACTCAAGATCCACCCAGTCTTCCATGTGTCCCTGCTGAAGACAGTAATCCCAGATGCCTTCCCTGACCGAGAATCTAGACCCCCGGAAGCAATAACGGTCGAGGGAGAAGAAGAATTTGAGGTAGAAACAATCCTGAAGTGCCGAAGGAAGGGGGGCCAGACCCAATTCCTTATCAATTGGAAGGGCTATGGCCCTGAGGACAATTCTTGGGAGCCAGCCCATAATGTCCATGCACCCAGACTTGTCCGGAGGTTTTTTTTCGCGATCACCCGTGGTGGAGAGATCGGGTGGGCATCCGGAGGTTGCCTGTAGGGGGGGGGGGCAATGTCAGGGATCTCCTCGATCCCCGCGATGGTCCCGGCGCAGTGCACCGCACTGTGCAGGGACACGGGCACTAGGTCCGGGCCGGCCGCGGCGTTCGAGTTCACGCATGCGCAGTAGAAGCCGCGGCCGCCCGCTGGGCACCAATGGCAGCGCAGGGTGGGATATTTAAATGGCCCTGAGCTGTTATTCAGTGCCTTCTGGTCTTTCCTGCATCCTGTGATTCTGCGAACCTGTACCCTGTAAGTTATTGACCCGGATTGTACCTGACCTTGCTGTTTTCTCCTATTCTGACCCTTGCTTTGCCTGACCTCTCTCCTGGATGCCCCCTATTGGATTTGACCTGCTGTTGCTGACCTGGCGTGTGACCCGACCATTCTATGCCCGCTGCCTTGTACCTTGCCGTCCTCTCTGTTACCGACCCGGCCCGTCTGACCTTGCTCATCCATCCCTTGCAGTGGGGTCTTCTGACCTCCTCATATCAGACTCTTTCCCGTGGGAGCCCTTGGCGCATACCACTACCACTGACGGACGCACCCAGTAGCCACGACCTGGTCTCAGGGGGCTCCAAGTCCATCCCCACCATCAGGGGCCCTGGTGAACAAGCACCCTGGGACTTAGACTCCGTGCGCTGGGGACGCCTATTCAATGGAGTGCTAGTGGTACCGCCAGGCGGTCCCTTACAACTTTATAGGATTTGCTAATTTTTATAGGAAATTTATCAAGAACTTCTCTGGAATCATCGGACCAGTGACACAGCTCACCAGGCAGCATATTCCCTTTAAGTGGACTCCTAAAGCCCAAGTAGCCTTTGAGCAATTAAAAAGCTATGTACATGTCCGCACCTATCCTGAAGCACCCGGACCCTGCTCTTGCATTTGTCCTTGAAGTGGACGCTTCGGAGAACGCGGATGGAGCCATATTATCCCAAAGGCAGGGTGTCAGGCTCCGCCCAACGGGATCTCTAGTGGTCCACGGCACGGGGTTTCCCAGGACGGTACAAGAAAGGTTGCAGTTCCTCAGGAGGAATGGTGAGATTCTACAGAAGACAATGGCTGAAGCTCAGGCGAGCAACAAAAAATTTTTTGATAGGAAAAGAAGAGGTAACTTGGAACTGAAACAAGGGGATAAAGTCTGGCTTTCCACAGCCAATCTGAAACTAAGTTGTCCGTCAAGGAAGCTTGGCCCAAGATATCTGGGACCATTTTCTATCAAAAGAAAGGTGAATCCTGTAGCCTTTGAATTAGAATTACCAAAAAACTTAAAGATTCACCCAGTATTCCATTGCTCCTTGTTGGAAATGCACATCCCAAGTGGGTTTCCCAATCGGAACCCGGAGGCGCCGGCTGGTCGAAGGGAAAGAAGAGTATGAGGTTGAGGCTATCCTAAACTGTAGGAAAAGGGGTGGACAGACCCAGTTCCTCATCAAATGGAAAGGTTATGGACCTGAGGATAACTCTTGGGAACCATCCACTAATGTCCATGCTCCGCGGATTCTTCAAGCCTATCTCCGTCTTCACCCTGAGAAACGAGCCCTAGTGGGCATCCGGAGGCTGCCCCTAAGGGGGGGCCCAAGTAAGGGATTTCCAGATAAGAGAAGATCGCCGCAGTGCATGAATCTGCGCATGCACAGGATCCCGACAAGGCATACAGGCACTAGGACCCAGGCGCACCTGTCACCAATGATGGCGCCGGACAGGCACTAGGATCCAGGCAAGCCTGTCGGCGCAGGGCGGGCTATTTAAAGAGCACCTCAGTGCTGATTCAGTGCTGACTGGTCTTCAGCTCCCCCCGTGTCCTGCTTGCTTCTGAACGTTTGCTTGTTGCCGACCCGGCTCTTGCTCCTGACCCGACTACTCTCCTGCTCCTGGTTCCTGGCTCCGGCTCTGTTTTTGACTCTGGCTTCTCCTGCTGATTTTGTACCTCACTGCCCGACGGTTGATGACCCTGGCTACTCTATGACCCTGCTCCTGCCCTGTGTCCTGGCTACCTACATTGCCCTGCTGCACATCGGGTATTGCCCAGAACCTGCTCTGCCTGCTATTCCGGTGACCAAATCAGAGGATACTCTGCCTACCAAAGTCATCATCTGCAAGAGCCGCAAACAACCACCACTGGCGCTCTTGTCCCCCTGGTCCCTAGACTCCCTCTGTTCCAACCTCAGCGGGGTCAGGGCTAGTGACACAAGTGAGGCCGACCTCGTCATTTCAGTCTCCGATCAGGTACGTGACAGTCACGCTGACAGCTCGGGAGGAGAGGAGAGCCGGTAATCGGCTTTCCACGGAGGGGACATCTACACTGATCATCAGGGCACTGATGATCAGTGTGCCCTGATGATCAGTGTAGCCCCATCAGTGCCTTGTGTCAGTGCTCATCAGTGCCTCGTGCCAGTGCCCATCAGTTCCACATCAATGCCACATATCAGTGCCTAACAGTGCGCATCAATGCCACATATCAGTGCCCATCTGAGCTGCCTTTCAGTGTCATCCATCAGTGTCTGTCAGTGCCACCTATCAATGCCAATCAGTGCCACCTATCAGTGCCGCCAATCAGTGTCACCTATCAGTGCCGCCAATCAGTGCCAGTCAGTGCGCATCAGTGCCGCCTATCAGTGTGGCCTAACAGTGCCAGTCAGTGCCTCCTGTCAGTGCCATATATCAGTGCTGCCTTTCAGTGCCCCATCAGTGATGCCTGTCAATGCACATCAGTGCCACCTATCAGTGTCCAGCAGTGCAGCCTATCGGTGCCCATCACTGCAGCCTCATTAGCACATATCAGTAAAGGAGAAAAATCACTTATTTAAAAAATTTTATAATAAAAAACTAAGAAAAAACATTTTTTTTTTTCAAAATTTTCAGTGGTTTTTGGTATAAGAAAAAATAAAAAACCCAGAGGTGATTAAATACCACCAAAATAAAGCTCTGTCACAAAAAAATGATAAAAATTTCATATGGGTACAGTGTTGCATGACCGCGCAATTGTCATTCAAAGTGCAACAGCGCTGAAAGCTGGAAATTGGCCTGGGCAGGAAGGGGGTATAAGTGCCCTGTAAGCTAATGGTTAAACTAAAACCGACCAATAAATTAATTTAAAAAAAAAAAAGGGGGGGGGGGCGGGAAGCGCCTAACTTTATAAAAAAATAACTTTTATATTTACTCATAAAAATACCTCCACCATTAGCACTCACCTCGGCAGTCCTAACTGATTGGAGAAGGGTCCGGTGGGCGCAGGTCATGGCGGTGTCACGCAAAAATAGCTTGGCTATTGAGAACAGACACTAAAGCAGAGTAATGGCCACAGACAGCGTGGAGGCGGTAAATTACGGCATGGCATTGGCTGATTACAGCCAATACCATGACACCGCCATGACCATGTGTGAGATAAACTAATCCTTACGCCCATTACCTTTTTTTCCTTACCTTTTTGTATTGGCAAAATGCCGATATATCGGTGCATCACTACAGGAATATGAAATGTTGGGTTTACATACTCTTTAACCGGTTGTTGCCCGCCCACAGTAGTTGTACAGCAAACATGCAGCAGCTCCAGGTGGGGCAACTTACCTGTTTGTCGTGATATTTCTTCCGTGCTCGGGGCGCACGCATGATTGGGACAGAGCATGAGTTTGGCAGCTGATCTCAGCCAATACTTTTTGCTGAAGTCAGTTGATCGGCTGTGTCCAATCACACAGAGTTCTGTGTTTACAAAACTCAGGGCCCACTCAGGGCCACCACCATCATAAGACGGCACAGGTGGCCGCCTTAGGGTACAAGGCGGCGGGGGGGGGGGGGTATTATGCCCCCTTCATCAGGGCTGGATTAACGTAGAGGCTCATGGAGGGCTGGAGGCCAATAGGGGTCTGGTCATGGAGAGTCCCGGTCCAGTGGCAGCAGGTGCGAGAAGCGGGATAGTTTAGGCTTTGATGGGTAGGCAGGATGACAGCACCTGGCTCCAGGTACAATCTCCACAGGATGAATGGGCAGCCCCAGAGACAGAGGCCATGGGGAAGGTGATCAGAGAGGGCAGCAAGGAATGATAGCACAGGAGGAAGAAGACCTGCAAAGCGGGCACAGCATCCCCAGCGCCTCCCAGAGACTAGAACCCCCTGGACTCCTTCAACCTCCTCTCCACTCCAAGGCTCAGAGAACAAGAGAACTGGGGGCCCAGAGAACAAGGACAGGTGGAAGGTGCAGGCAGCCAGGGAATGCTCCATCTCACCTAAAATAGGTCCACTGGAAAGAGCAGAGCACCTCCTGTCCTCCCCCAGAAGAAAACAAAAAAAACAAAACAGGCCCTGCCCACTGCTGGCCATCATGAACATACTGCTGGCATGAAAAGTATCGTACCAAGCATCATACAGACCTGTCAGGGAGCGAGGAGCCAGACAAACAAGGAGATGCAATTAAAGCAGCGTCTGCAATGCCTGAGCGAACTGATCCAACAAGAGATCCTGCTGTTCAAGTCTGGCAACCAACATAGGAAGCGAGGGCATACCTGCACCGTCAGGATTCATGGCATTCGTGTAGTATCAGGGAACGAGGAGCCAGACACACAAGGAGGTGCAATTAAAGGTAGGTTTATTTACACAGAAACAAGGCAAGAGTCTATGCAAGTCCGACAGCAACAGCGGATGACTTGGTAGGTCGTCTCTCCAGGATAATCAAGTCGAGAACCAGCGGGAATCGTAGCCAAAGCCGGGGTCAGAAGCTAGGAAGAATGTTCGCCAGAGCTGGGGTCAGAAGCCAGGAGTCGTCTTAGCCAAAGCCAAGTCGGTATCCAGGAGAGCAAAGAGTTAACTAAACAGGAGCTTGCTGCTGTGCAACAGACAGGACACGAATGCAATGGACAGCTACAAACAGCAGACTTAAATGTGATAAGCCGCCACCTCCTGGGAGGAGCCGCAGAGGGCTGAAGGCATAAAGGATCCCACAATGCTTTGCAGACCTAAGATGGATGCCAGCACATGGAGCAGCACAAGCCCTGAGGAAAGGTAGGACCTTGATAGTACCTCCTCCTCAAGAGCCCCTCCCCCTCCGTGGCTCAACATAAGGCTTCTGGGGAAAGCGTGCGTGAAAAGCGCGGAGGAGGGCAGGAGCATGAACATCCGCAGAAAGAACCCAGGAACGCTCCACGGGACCATAACCACGCCAATGGACCAGGAACTGCACCCGACCGTGGACCAACCGAGAGTCCAGGATGCGGCTTACCTCATGCTCCTCATGACTGTCAACCCGGATAGGACAGGGCCGAGGCAGTGAGGCAGTAAAGCGATTGCAGACCAGAGGCTTCAACAGGGATACGTGGAAGACATTGGAGATACGCATCCCAGGAGGAAGAGCAAGGGCATAGGCAACCGGGTTCACCCTGCGGAGGATGCGGAAAGGACTAACAAAATGGGGAGCCAGTTTCGGTGCGGGCACCCGAAGATTGAGGTTACGAGTGGACAACCACACCCGATCTCCGACCTGGTATGAAGGCGTGGGCAACCATCTATGATCAGCCTTAAGCTTCTGGCGCTGTGCTGAGTCCTTTAAGGACCTATGGATCTGCCCCCATGAAGAATGCAGGGCAGCAAGATGGTTCTCCACAGCCAGAATGTCCTGTGGCGAGAACAACTCAGGCAATACAGCGGGTTGGAACCCATAGTTGGCCATGAAGGGAGACAACCCGGAGGAGGAGTTGACAGCCGAGTTCCTCGCAAACTCTGCCCATGGCAGGAGATCGACCCAATTGTCTTGATGGTCTGAGATATAGCAGTGAAGGAATTGTTCCAGGGCCTGGTTGGAAAGCTCCGCAGCCCCATTGGACTGCGGGTGGTGGTAGGCCGAAGAGAAGGAGAGCTTGATACCCAACTGAGAGCAGAAAGTGCGCCAGAACCTGGACACAAACTGGCTCCCACAGTCCGAGACAATCACCTTAGGCAACCCATGCAAGCGAAAGATCTCCCTGGCGAAAACCGTAGCCAGTTCTTGCGCAGTTTGCAATTTCTTGAACGGAACACAATGGCACATCTTGGAGAAACGATCAATGACCATAAGAATGACCATATGGCCTTGAGACGCAGGGAGGTCCACAATGAAATACATGCCCAGGTGTGACCAGGGACGCTCCCCATTGGGAATGGGTTGCAGAAGGCCCAATGGAAGATGCCGAGGAGATTTATTCTGGGCACAGACAGAACATGCTGCTACATATGAGGGGATGTCGGAACGGAGAGATGGCAACCAGAATAGACGAGAAACGACCCAGGACAACTGGTTCCTCCCCGGATGACCGGCAGTCTTGAAACTATGGTAGGTGTGCAGCAGGTGGGTGCGCAATCCCTCAGGTATGAAACATCTACCAGCCAGTCTCTCAGAGGGTGCATCAGTTTGAGCCGCCAAAATCTGCTCCCCAAGGGGAGAAGTCAGGCTGGTACGAATGGCAGCCAGGATCTGATCCGGAGGTATGACCAAGGTCAGCTCAGAGTCCTCCCTGGACAGCTCAGAGAATTGCCGCGACAAGGCATCAGCCCTGACATTCTTGGAGCCAGGCAAATAGGAGACCACATAGTTAAAACGCGACAAGAAAAGAGCCCATCTGGCCTGACGGGGCGTCAACCTCTTAGCCTCCGAGAGATACGTCAGGTTCTTGTGGTCAGTGAGAATGAGAACCGGAACCGCAGAACCCTTGAGCAGGTGCCTCCATTCCTTTAGAGCCTGAATAATGGCCAACAACTCCGTCTCCAATGTGGTAGTTGCATTCTGCAGAGGAAAGCTTCCTGGAGTAGAACCCACAGGGAAGTAGGGGTTCATCGGGCGACAGGCGCTGAGACAGGAGGGCGCCTACTCCCGTCTCAGATGCATCAACCTCGAGGACAAAGGGCAACCCAGGATTGGGATGAGACAGCATCGGAGCCGAAGCAAAGGCGGATTTCAGAGCTTCGAAAGCTAAGATGGCCTCGGATGACCACTCGTGAGGATTACTGCCCTTCTTGGTCAGATCTGAGAGAGGCTTGGCCAGCGTGGAGAAGTTCCTGATAAACTTCCGATAATAGTTGGCAAATCCCAAAAAGCGCTGAATGGACCGAAGACCACTGGGACGAGGCCACTGCAGAACAGCCGAAACCTTCTGAGAGTCCATGGAGAATCCCACAACGGAAATGATGTAGCCCAAAAAGGCAACCTGGATCGGTGAAATTCACACTTGTCGAGCTTACAGAAAAGCTCGTTCTCATGTAACCGTTGCAGCACCCGCTTGACATCCTGGATATGAGACTCCATAGACGCAGAGTAAACCAGGATGTCGTCAAAGTAAACCACCATGCACTGCTGCAACAAGTCACGAAAGACATCATTAATGAACTCCTGAAAGACTGCGGGCGCGTTACACAACCTAAAGGGCATAACCAGGGATTCATAGTGGCCGGTTCTGGTGTTGAACGCGGTCTTCCACTCGTCGCCCTCCTTGATCCGCACGAGGTTGTACGCAGCCCTAAGGTCGAGTTTAGTAAAGACAGTTGCTTCCTTGAGGCGGTCGA